TTAGGTGCTTCTAACTCCGTGACAGCCCTGATAAACCTAAGCACGTTGGCATTTTACCAGGGAACTTGATTTCCACCGCCGTCTGTTTGGCCAAATGGACGATGAGACTAACTAATGCAGAAGCTCTTGGTTAATGAGATGAACAATCACGCTGCAAACGAAAGACTAGACAGGAGCAGAAATCATTCTTTTGTCAGCTTGCTGGCTGGTTACTTTCCTGGGATGGGCCCACTGAGAGCCGAGACCCCATCAGCCACTTCTGAAATTCAAACTCATCCCTTAAAGAACTGCTCGGACCTCATTCTTCATTTACCCCAAGATATTGCCACCAGCAATAACAACAGCAATTGAATCATGAGCCTCTCGATGAACGTCAAGCCTTTTCGTGTTTTTCGGTGACAATAAATGCCTTTTTTTAAAATCCATTGTACACTTTGCACATTAACGTGATTAGCATAAAGAGAACACACCTGCTGCTCTTCCTTCTTAAAGCTACATTTTGAAGGCTCTGGCTTAGCAATCGGTGGTGCCGTGGTCACAGGCTGGCTGTGGACCTAAAGGTCAGCAGTGAAAAGCCACCGGCTACTCCGTGAGAGAATGGTGGGACTGTCTCCTCATGAAGACACAATCCCTACAGTGTCAACGTGCAACACCCCCTCCTGCCACCCCTGATGGGGATGAACAATAGAGACATGGGCGAAGGAGACTACGGACAGTAGAAGATGGGGAAATGATAATAATGTGTAATTCATCAGGGGTCCATGTGGGTGGGAGGGCGGGTAAAAAGAGGAACTGATACTGAGGGCTCAAGCAGGAAGAAAATGTTTTGAAAATAATGATGGCGACATATGTACAAACGTGCTTGATACAATTGATGTATGGATTGTTATACGAGCTGTAAGAGCCCCCGGTAAAATGGTTCATTCATTTACAAAAAGGAGGAGGATGAGTCAAGGATGAAGAAAAAAAAAGATTTACAGTCAGAAACCTAGAGAAGCAGGTTGCCGTGTCCTGTAGGGTCCCTGTGGGTTGGCATTGATCCCGTGGCGGTGGGTTGGTTGATAGGTTTGGCTTGGTTTGAATTTAGCAAGCGCTGTTCGAGATGAGATGTCTTTAAACCTCCTTACTCACTTGACTGCCCTCTCAGTGACCTGGCTCTCTCCCACGTGTGCCCAGAAAGCTCAAGATGGTAAACAGAGAATCAGAGGGGGGAATCTTTGCAATGCTGGGAAAAGCTCTTCTGGAAAAGCAGTTATTATTCAATGGACCATTTGCACTATCAGATATGTTTCTTTTGAAATATAATCTCCTGCCTTGAACCAGAGGGAATACATCATGTGATGGGTGCAGTGGTGAAATTAACATGACTGCCAAAAGGCAGCACCACTTACAAACCAAATTGTTCCTAATTGGTGTGAACTCGATGAAGACCTGTGGAGAAGCCAGTAGGGCTGTTTTACATTTGATAAGACTCTCATTTGAGAGATGGAAAGCATATGTTTATTATTTTTGCAATTGTCCCTAAATGCACAGATAAGAAACCCAGACACATCTACACACACTTTTCATACATGTATCTTTTCCGCCTCTAGAAGCTGCTCTCAGTAACCCTTGCGCCACGTCCATGTCCTTGGGGCCGGTGGGCATGTCCTTTCTACTGTGTCTGCTCTGCGTGTGCCTTGCAGATCCAGGGAGGGGACTCCTGGCGTGGGCCAGGAGGACTGTGGGGCACGGCCGTGCATGAGTTACCTTCTAGGCTCACTTGGGAAGACAAAACACAAATCAAGCTCTCCTCTAAATTTATATCCATGGAAAAAAGAGGGGAACAAAGAGTTCACGTAAGGCAGTGGTTCTCTGCCTTCCTACTGCCGCGACCCTTTCATACAGCACCTCATGGTGTGGTGACCCCCCAACCATGAAATTATTTTTGTTGCTACTTCTCACTGTCATTTTGCTACTGTTATGAATTGGGTGACCCCTGTGAAAGGGTCGTTCGACCCCCCAAAGGGGGTGTGACCCACAGGTTGAGAACCGCTGACGTAAGGTGTGGTGCTTGTCTTCGTTACCTAGTGGTACTGTTGCAAGTGACACAAGTGAGTGGCTTTCGGGAACAGGTATTTGTTGTCTCGTGGCTCTACAGGTGACCACCCAGAAGCTCAGTGTTGTTGCTGTGTCCTGCGTCGGTGACCCCAGTGTACCTCGGTTCCTTGACATGATCCTCACACAGCAGGGTGTGTCTCTGTGTCTATGCTGGTGATTTTGACAAGTCACATGGGATTTGGTTTGGGATCCACCATACACTGTTATGACCTCCTTAATGCACACATGCGCAAAGAAAAACAAATCTGGTTTCCCAACAAGATCACATCCACAGGTCCAAGGGCCAAGGCTTCAACACCTATTTGGGGGGAAATGCAATGCAGTCTTAAAACTTTGAAGCCTACTCCTCCTCCTCCTGGGTCTCCCTACCAAACGTTCTAGAGAAGGGATTGACAGATTACAGCCCCCACACGCCAAATCCAGCCCCTTTCATCACTATCCCTTATTTGTGTAAATACTGGCTTCTTGCAAGCAGCCACACCCTTCTCTGTGCGCTGTCCATGGCTACTTTTGCATGATAATAGCTGCCCTGAGAAGTTGTCATGGGGACCACTTGACCCAACATGCCCGGAATATTTTCCTTCTGCCCCTTTGCAGAAGAAGCCACTGAAACAGGGACCACAGACAACAATCCTTACTGGGAGGAAAAGCTGAAAGGCGCCATGCTTTCTGAGATTTGTGTCATCTTTTTTACTTGGGAAAACAAAAACCTTGGCCCCACCTCTCAATGAGGAATTACTGACAAAGTCGTCAGCCTTGGCAGCCTGAACATTTGCTTGTGTGTGTGGGAGTGTGTGGGGACAAAATTGTTTCATGCATTTTTTTCTTTGTCTACACCTGTGTTGATAAAATCTGTTGCTAGTGTGTGTGTGTCCTATGATCATGCCAAGCATAAGCCAGGTGTATATGAATATGTTTTTTTAAATCATTTTATTAGGGGCTCATACAACTCTTATCACAATCCATACACACATCAATTGTGTAAAGCGCATTTGTGCATTCATTGCCCTCATCATTCTCAAAACATTCTCTCTCCACTTAAACCCCCAGCATTAGGTCCTCATTTTTCCCCTCCCTCCCTGCTCCCCACTCCCTCATGAGCCCTTGATAGTTTATAAATTGTTATTTTGTTATATCTTGCCCTGTCCGATGTCTCCCTTCACCCACTTTTCTGTTGTCAACAGAATGTGGTTTTTTTTAAAGTTAAAATGATTTCAATTGTATTAATTTTGGCTTCACATTTCTAAAAACCACTTGGACATTATTTAGAGGGCAATTGCTTTATCTTAGAGGACACTGCCTTCTCCCAGGTTCTCTCAGTGACAGAAGATTGTGTCGAGGATTTGGAAACGAGGGAGGGAGGTGAAATTATGATAAGAATTTCACGGGCATACTCCTGGGTGGCCATCTCTGCCTGGTTTGCCTCTCTAACCATGTTGCCTTGTGACTGCTCTGCCGGTGGATGACTCTGCAGGAAGCAGCCCTTTCTTTGAAGGGCCTCTTGCCAGAACTTCGGCTTCTCTGGGTGGTGACAACAGTTGAAGGCTTGACGATTAATCCCGAGGTTGGCAGTTCAAACCAGGCTCCCAGAAATGCCTTGGAAGACCCACTGATCTGCTTCCAATTCCCAAAGACCACAGCCCTTGAGAACCCCTGTAGATGGCAGCGGTTCTCTGACCCACCTGCAAGTACTGGGAGAATTAGGCTTGATTGACAACCGGTGTGAGTGTTAGCTTTGGGCAGCCCCAGAGGGCAGTGTGGCGTGCGTGAGTAGCTATCGCCTCTGCTCAGGCCCTGAGAACATCTTTGTGGCGTTCCTTCCCATTCGACACCTTGGATAGGTGAGTGGCTGGAATTTCAGTTCCCCTCACCTAGATCTGAGCCCTTCCTGTTTGCTAGGATCGAGTGCACTAACCTTCTTATCAGTTCTTGACTTTGCTGCCAAGGTCATGGTGGGGGAGCCAAGTTTGCACGCCTCCCCAGCACGCCGCCATGGGAGAAAGCAAATGGGATCATGGGAAAATAAACACATTGATCCCACAGCTCCTTCCACCCTGTGACAGAGGAAGCTTCGTGCACGCGCCCGTGGGTCCCTCTGGGCTCTCCTCGCTGGGCCCTCTCAAGCCATTGCACTGTGGTCAGTGTTGAGCTGGGGCGGGGAGGTGGGAGGAATTTTACTGGCGTTTGGATCTTGTCCTACAAAACAAAGTCCTCCCTCCTAGGGCTTCTTCCGGGAGGTGGGTCTGTCTGGAGGACGCTGCGCAGACGGGTCTGAATGCAGAGGCCCTCCTGTGCGGGTGGGCAGGCCTGGGGGGTTCCGGCCGGCAGGGTGGCTGTCGTCTGGGGCATACATAAAATGTGTGAGCAATAAGACTTTGCTCCGTTCTTGGAAACTTTCACGAAAACCTCTTTATACATATAAATAAATCTTGGGAAGCACATTGAACAGAAAAGGAAAACTACAGAATATGAGATCCAGGCAGAGAGGAGAGAGACTTCCTTAAATATCCCCAAGGGCTTATTTTGTTAGTTTCCATATCGATAGTAGTCTGCTATAAGTAGAGGCAGCATTTTGCAGGAGGCACAAGTGCCGGGGTTGAAAGCTGGAGAGAGGCGACGGGCAACCCCCTGCCCTGAAGAGCTGCCCTTGTGGGTGCGAAGCAGGCATAGAGCAGGTGGTCTGTGGCTGGAATGTCTTACAGCTGGGAGCCCATGTGACGCTCCCAAAGAAACCAATCCTGAAACAGTGGCAGATGAGCTCAGGAACTCGCGGCGGAGCCCCGAGTGCAGCCGCAGACAGCTCTGGGCCGTGGGGCAGGTGGGATGCAGCCCCCCCGCAGCCCCGGGGTCTGCAGCCTGGGCCTTCTCATCCTGTCCTCTTGTTTCCTTGCCGGCTGCAGGTTCATCCCAGAGGCCTGGTCGGCCTGCACAGTGACCTGTGGCGTGGGCACCCAGGTGCGAACGGTCAGGTGCCAGGTGCTCCTGTCTTTCTCTCAGTCCGTGGCGGACCTGCCCGTGGACGAATGTGATGGGCCCAGGCCGGCATCCCAGCGTACGTGCTACGCAGGCCCCTGCGGCGGGGACACCCCTGCGCTGCACCCGGAGGAGCCGGACGGGCTCTTCGGTGGCCTGCAGGACTTAGAGGACTTATACGACTGGGAGTACGAGGGCCTCACCAAGTGCTCCGAGCCATGCGGAGGAGGTAAGAGGGGGGCGCTGGCTCAGACCCCCGCCATCTTTTCATTTCTCCATCACTTCCCTCTCCCCCCACGGCGTGCAACTGTGTCTTGTGTCTCTTTATCAAGAAGGGTAAGCAGGGGTGAGGGTGGGGGTGGGGAAGCCATGCTACACGTAAAACACGCAGAATGAAACACAGATGTGGTGCTTTCTTGGCTCGCACGGCGCTCAGACTGTCAGCTGCGAGTGGCCAGCCCAGCTAACACTTTTACTTTCAGTTGTCATTCCGATGTTTTGCAATCTATCTCTGGGGCATCAGGCGGAGAAACACAGTTGACAACCGACCTGGCAGTGCTCTCTGAGCACTCAGGTTACTCCTCTCCACCGCTGCCTCAGCCCACGTGGTATGAACCCAGAGCCAAGTGCCAGAAACGTGCCATTTACCCCTCGGAGTTCCCCAAGTACTAGGATTAACAGGAGGCTCCTTGGGGCAGGTGGGGCGAGGGACAGGGAAACTAGATTCGTGGCGACAGAACCACCAGAAAGGAAGCGGTGAGAAGGTTGCCAGGTGGTGAAAATGTAGCCCATGTCACAGAACGGTGAGGCCAGGAAAGGTTCGACTCAAACTCGCTCACTGTCATCCAGTTGGGTTCGACCCATAGCAACCCTCCAGGATGGGGTCGGAGTGGCCCTGCGGGGTTCTGAGATCGTAACCCTCTATGGAAGCAGGAAGCCTCATCTCGCTCCCTCGAAGTGGCTGGTGGTTTCAAACTGCTGACCTTGGGTTAGCAGCCCAATTTGCTGTGTACATTTTCTCCCCAAACACTACCATAATACAGATAAAAAGTAATGGAGAGCGTTATCACCTGGAGCCAGAAAGGAGTTGACCAATTTAAGTCTGACCCCAGCTCCAGTTTGCTAATGAGGCAAGTGAGAAAAGCTGAGTCACTTGTGCAAACTCAGACCGTCGTGGCTGAGAGCTGTGAGCAGACCAGGGCTGCTCGTTCTGTTTACAGACTCTATCGCACCATGCTTATTTTCTAAGCACTTAGAGCAGCGGTTCTCAACCTGTGGGTCGAGACCCCTTTGGGGTCGCCCAATTCATAACAGTAACAAAATTACAGTGATGAAGTAGCACCAAATATAATTTTATGGTTTGGAGGTCACCACCACATGAGGAACCATATTAAAGGGTCGCGGCATTAGGAAGATTGAGAACCACTGACTTAGAGGATGCCTGAGCTTTCTTCATTATGAAGAGTCCTTTGTTAGGCCAGGCCTATGGACCTGGCTCTCCGACGTGTATCCTGTGATGATATGAAAACACAACCAGTAAGTAGTTAAGGGGTTATGAATGGGATTGGCTGGAGGAAGCAGGCAACTCAATCAACATTGAAATTTGCAAGATCAAGATTTTTCTCACCACGGTAGAGCCCCATCTTAGATTCACATTGACATTGGCTCCCACAGAGGCTTCAAGAAAGACTCCCGTAGGGGAGGGAACTCTGGCTGCCAGATCTCCTCCCAGAGGCCTCTCCACGGCTCCCAGGACCCTTTCCCGGTTGTGTTAGGATGTGTATTCCCAGAAGAGTTCCTTACTGAGCTAGTGGAACAAAGTATTAATTCCCAAGACTGCTTTCAACCGGGATCTTTGGGGGAGTCTTTTCAACTTTAAAATGTAAAGGCTTCTTCTGTCCTGAGTGAGAATGTCGCAGTGACCGCGCCCCTTTGTCCCCAGGCTGGTGCAGAGGAATTAATAGCGGAACTTGTCCCAGCAAAGAATCAATTTCCCCAACAGTTCTCTTAGTAAGCATTTCACGGGTCTAACCTTGGGGAGAAGGGAGTTCGTGTTTGCTTCAAAGACTTCCAATTGCAAACTTAGAAATTGAAAGACTTTTATTGGAGAAATCCTGGTATTTTAAAACCTAAATTCTTCCTACTTGATATTGGAAGGCACTTTCCTAAAAGAGAGCAAATGTGACTGCATTCCTATGGGGCTCCTCACTCATTCTGAAGGCATCTTTTCGTTCATGCTTAACGAGGGAGGGCGACGTGGTAGCCAAGCTGGGTAAGCTCTGAGCTGAGCAGGCAGGTGAAGAAGTTGCAGCCAGGTGCTCCTTTCCAATAGCACGGAGGACTCAAGAGCTCAGGTGATTGCGGTTTTATTCATGAGCTTGAGGATCACCTGAATTGAATGATCACTATTGCTAGTCTACAACTAATGAACCCCCCCACCCCAAAAGAATTTCTATTCCCTCACTTATGGTTCCCTGCTAAAAGCCAAGCCTGGGAGTTTATGAGCAGATGATAAAAATAGATGCAGTCATGGAATATATAAATAACCAGATACCTTCTTGGTCAAGAGTCTAACCATTCTGCTGACCAACCAGGGATCTAAAATTCCAAGTGGAGACTGTTTGTGGAATGTAACATGTTTCAGATTTAGAACTAGGATTTGAGTGTTTGATATACCATGGATCCCTACCTTTAGGAGCTGGGTGTCTCTAACATAAATTGTGCATCCTTTAGATATGTCCTGGGTAGGGTAGAGTTAGTGAAATTTCTAAGATCCTCAACTGTCAACAACTGAGCACACATCTACCATATATCACTGTGCCAAGGTAATATATTGACGGCTAACATGTTGAGAGTTGAAAATTCCTAAGTGGTGAAAATATGGTTGGATGATATGGTCCATATGATGCCCATATGGACTTGAAAAAATGATTTTAATATACAGGGCATGTATGTTTCCAAGTCATTGTTTTGGAGGAACATTTCACCAGAACTTAACCCACAAGTTTATACATATTTCGAATCCCGTTAAAGCCTATGAAAGACGTGCAGGGTTAACGAATAGATTTTCTTTCTTTTTTTAAAAATCATTTTATTAGGGGCTCATACAACTCATCACAATCCATACATCAATTGTGTAAAGCGCATCTGTACATCATTCTCAAAACATTTTCTCTCCACTTAAGCCCCCAGCATTAGGTCCTCATTTTCCCCCTCCCT